GAAATTGGCATGAGAATATAAAATATATATAACACTGTATATAGTAAAGTTAATTGACAATCATATGGTAGATGGTTATTGCGTAAAGAATAACATATATGCATTGCCAATAGTATTGTGACTCTTAATCTAATATGAGCTTAGTTGAGTTTTCTTGGGCCTTTTTGTCCCACTGTAGAACGTAAATAAGTTTTTTTTCATCGATAAGAATATTGCCACATGTTTGCAACAGAATCGTTAATTGGTCAAATTAACGAGACATTGTAACATAAACTCTGTTAACGTCCACTTTATTGTTCACAACATTACGGTATTTATAGACGAAGCGATACATTTCGAATGACAAACTACATTAACGTAAAAGACATTGCTGTGGAAAAATAAATACATTTATTGTATACATATATTTATTATATGTGACAAACGTACCCCCAATGAAACAAGAAACTGTAATTAACTACTATATTGAATCAGTATTCATCTTCAAAGAGATTACGTATAATAAAGTAAATATGCTATCATTGATCATCGAATTCACGGCGTTCCTGAATCAAAGCACAGCATCCACACCAGCAATGAGTGAAACAGTCGCCCAAACAACCACCCTAAAAAAAACAACAATAAAATTAACAGACGGTATATAAATTTAAAACAGAAAAAGTAGAGAGTAGTCATACATCGATTCCTTTTCTGGCACGAATCTCACCGCGCGTCATAATACGAAGACAGCAATCAAAGCCTATAAACATTGCACAAAAATAGCAAAAGCAATTTGAGCCAAAACCCGAGCCCATTTTCTCTTTTGTTTCACCCTGTGAATGAATTTGCGTTAGAATAACGAGAGGAGGATGGGAGGGAAAAGAAATAAAATAATCGCATGCCGTATTAGCCTTACGTATGTGATACAAGGGCAACACCACGTCTTGAAGCAGAGTCCGGGGACAGAGAAGCAATCGAATAAATCCGCTCTCCAACCTCCTCGACCCGTTGGGGCAGCTTGTGGTTGGGCTTGAGGTATGCTCATCCCGGGTTGTGGTGCATAGAAACCGGGCTGTGGTGTATAGACACCTTGTTGCGGTGTATAGATACCTTGTTGCGTCGGATACTCTTTTGGTTCGTAAGACATAACTGTACTATTTAATTAAAAGGTCGGAATTTTTTGTTCTCGTTTTTAATTGAACAAAGTCGAGAGAGAAAACTCGATTTTTTTTGCGTGGCACGGAAGGGCCGGTCTTTATAATCAAACAGACTATTTCTATATCGTATGTTGCACAGTAGTACAGCAAGTGTTACCTTGGAAAATGCATGAGATCGAATTTGGTCTAATGCGATACAAAAATATTTCCGTACGAAGACTGGGACACACCCCCCCCTTTTTTCCTCCCTCTCGTGAGCGATACGCATATATTCATAGCAAAGCAAGCCAATTCAGGAATTTCTATTGCCGATACAATAGATAATGGATGGGTCTAATCATCTAATCTGTAAACATCGTAATGCTCCGCTCCCCTCGACACTTCCTTTTTTTTCGTAACATATAACATGGTGGTGGTGCTTGCCATTGTTGCTGTACCTGCTGCACGATAAAAGCAGAACTTTTACATAGAGTGCGTGTGTGCAACGCACTCATTCATCTCTTACTCATACTGGTTATCTTGCGTAACACAGACTAACGACTTTGAGATTCATTGTTATGAGATAAGACGAAGATCTCAATAACGTTTCGGTTTCATGTCATTGTGCTGTCGCTGTATGTAGCACGCAATGTGCAGATTGGAATAAAGTCTTACACTAATGATTGTTCTTTGCATGGTGCATCTTGCGTCAAGGATGTAAGTTGAGTTTCGTATGTCGTTACACGCTTGTTAATGGGTTCTCTCGGTCTGCTTGAGTGTGAGAAAAAATTTATTGTCTAAAAATATCTCTATTTGTCAGACTTTTAAGGCCTAGTTTGGGGTTTATCGTTATCGCCCCCATAATTTAATAATCAGAATCCATGTCACACAACATATTAACTACTGTTATCTTATCACATTCATTGAGGGTGTATCGACAGGTGCAAATCTTTGCGTTATGATTTGAATATGAAAACAAGAACTCATCTCCCAAGCCAAAATTACAGTTCGAGCCGAGCAAGGTTTATCATCAACCTTATGCATAGAAATCGAAGATCGATAGACTGATCTCATTAAACATCAAACGGTAAATTAAACCCACGGTTTCTATAGAACTACACATTGTTTAGGGACTTTATGCTATAAATGGATGTGTATAAATCAATCTATTGGTTTACGATATGAGGTGTTTACGAGAATTGAGCCTCGAACTTCAATGCATAAAAGGAATAAAGAAAATCATGTTCGCAGCACAACCATAGAACGTGCTGTATGTTTACACTTTTGTTGAAAACTTATCGATGTCTGTTAAAGAAACGTATATTGTGGTTTTTGTCAGTGTAGATGACATAAGCTTATCTGTATTTAGAAATGACAGTGGGCAAGATGTCATACAGTGAACTTTTATGAAACATTACAAAAGCTCCGCAATCATTCAATATACCAATACTGGAAATCACTATAGTCATTGATATGTCTATATTTTCTATTATTATCATCTATCAGTTATCTTCACCATTTTATTTAAATTGATGGGTACTTGTCAAATATACTGTATGCGACTTGGAAAAGAAACGGGTTTGGACTTGATGTAAATATAATTGGCACCCTTATATACACCTCGTTATACTGAAGTGTCGGGGGAGACATCCACGATTCGGTATAACGAGATATTTGGTATAGTGAGATATCTTTAGATAACGAAGTTAGGCCTAAGGTTTAAGCATTATTCGGTATAATGAGGTGTACGTGAACAACATCTTTATTTCATAATACACGAATACTAAATGAGTCGATTCGAATCTGTTTTTGCTTGCAATGCTATGCAATTCCACGTTTCTCTTCAACGCACGAAAGGCTTTAAATTAATTTCTATGCCGCCTTGTTGAAGGTAATTTCAAATCGTACGATATAACTTGAAATCACATGACCAGATCTGTTACTCACGCGATAAAACTTTGATTAGTAGCATATGTAACAATCCTGCATCGAACTTCGGTAACGGTATAAAGAGATTTACTATTAAAATTTGTTATAATGAGGAAATTTTCTATTTGGGAAACGGGGGAAGCAAGAATTCCTTCGGTATAGCGAAAATTCGGTATGACGAGGCGAGGCTCGGTATAACGAGGTTCGACTGTATTTACAGTCGGGTGCACAACTTCTGCAATTTTTGCCTGACAATATCCTTTTTCTGTAAAAACTAAACTCTGTTTATTTTTTCGTACATTGACCTACTGTTGATCTGTCATGATTTAGGAAATTGCGCTGACCCCTTCTCAATTTTTGACTGCAAAGTTCGTCCATTTTTATTATCTAATTCTATATCTAGGACTAGAATAATAGTTTAATTATTAATGAAGAAATAACCGACCCACTTCCAAGCTTTGTTCGCACGGGTGATACTTATTTTCATCAGAAAGAGCTTCATGCAAATGCGATGATAGCTGAGTATCCGACTCTGTTTGTCACATTGTCAATGGCAGAAAGTCGATGGGAATATTTATTGCGTAATACTGATAACGGTGATACAATTCCAACAAATCACGTCACAACTCATATCTCCTTCATATAACCATTACCTCAATACCTCTACAATTAAGACTATCAAGAAAATATCCTTCTCACCTCCATACGCACTTTAATTTATTTACTGTCCCAAGGCCATTTTTGAAATAGACGGACGGCTACAATACTTCGTAACCTCGAACTAATAAGCTGACTCACTTTCAGTGATATATGATTCACAAGTTGTAATATTTACATATACGAATAAAATTTACTGTACCAAATGTGCAATTTACATACAAAGCAGCTTGCATTATAAAGCAAAGAGTAACATACGTTCATATAACTGATAGCAATTTCTCCAATATACACATAAATAATACTGTCATTACTTGACAAAATTATCTCTCAATTTATCACTAACATTAATATATAACCATAAAGACAAAGGGAGGCGAAGCCTCCTAACTACTTCTCACTCTAGTTAATGGTTAATAAATACATATTTCTGTTAACAAGCCTGCCCGCAGGCACACATAAATTCTAGTTTTGTTAGCACTAACGGCCAGAAAAACTTAAAAAAGGTAATATTAGTATTTATACGTTGTCGTATTTAGCTACATATATATTACTATTTCTTACACATAAAAATACCTGACGAATGTTAGTCGCTATTTGCTCCCTCATATATATCGCAATCGACATGAACTTACAGTCAGATGTGTTCCTACATATGGACAAATGGTATTGGAACTCGTTAAAAACTTAATCGAAAGGAATCACAGTCCTATTCTACGAATGTCAGTCGTCAGTCATCCTCATTAAACGATGTGATTCATTCAGGCATGATTTATCGAAAATAGAAGGAACAACTGAGCTAGCATTTCCCCGCCCTGTAATTACAACTGGAGTCTTTAAGCGTCTAATTTACAGGTATGTTGATTACATCTAAAGGCGTACTATATTTTGATATCCTTCGTAGGATTAAAATTGGACAGCTGTAGTAATCCGTGGGTACACGTCAAACCAAAGACCGTAACCAAATCTCAGTCAATAAGCGAATAGAAACTGTACACAAAGAACGCATCTTATTACCTTCATTACCTCCTCCCAAACTAGGTGCAACTTACAGGCAGCAAGACTCCTTCCACAGTCAATGAAGATGCCGACAAATTGCCAGACAATACCAGCAAAAGCCGTCAAGGGCAAAGAAGTAACAGAAAGACAACAACCTGTTTTTTCCGGGATTTTCTTTTTCTTTTACACATCAAAGCTAGTTATTATTTATAACATTATCGATGACCGAAATCATTCGGGTGAAATTCAGGTTATTAGTCGCACACATTCATATCTAGACAACTGTACTATGTCACACAGAAATCGAGCGACACAAAAAACGGAGAATGTCTCCGAAGAAATTTTTTACTCCAACGATGTCGTCGTTAGTCCAAAAAACTATTGACAGTTTGATTCAAAGTGAAATTCAATTTGAATGGATTCCTTGCTCGCAAATCAGTTGCCTAGAGTTAACTCACATTTACAACATCTATTATGCTATTCGCAAGCCGAAGCTTACGGATAAAATAATGCTGCTACGCCTGGAGAACAGCGAAAAATGTACAGAATACTCACTATCAACACACAAGTATGATGACGATGTCAGTCAATTTGGGAGATATGCAACATGGCTTAGGAGTCGCAACCAACTAATATTTGGATTCACCAAGTTCAAGTTAAATGGTGATAGAAACTATTATTATTATATGGTTGCTGATAGAAAGTTTCATCATTGTTATTCCCGATATGGGTTCTGTACTGCATGTAAAATACTCCGATGTAGTCCCGTGTGGTGCGTACGCGGACATAAACAATTATCCGATGGATGGACTAGCAACAATAAGCAACTTGATAGGTTTATTAAGAAAACCCAATTACAAACAGACTCACCAAATGACGCTTATTTAGAGTGGATTCCATATGACTATATTTACAATAATGGAGATGGATGGGGATACTTGTATGATCTACCTACTTGTTCGCGGCGTATATATGTTAAATTTATTCCACTTGAAATAACAGACAATACACATGATTTATATTATGCCCAGGTAAATTATTTACATATACGTCAAGTTTATTGAACAGCTTAACTGTTATTGACCCATATATGTATATCATTTTCCCCACTAGCTATGTGATGAGAATCCGGACATTCTTAATGTGGATGTTTGGATCACCATCGGATTTACATATGATGCAAACAAACAAACGTATTATTTAATAAAAGAACGATATGGGAATGGATTATGTTTGGCATGTGTAGCTGCGTATAAACGTTATACAAATCCATTCTGTAATGGATGTAAAACACCAAGACCACGAAATTGGACTACAGGCAACAAGTCATTGGATTCATTTATTATGAAGTCGTGGAACAATATGACGCATCAATATGATGGATTTATACAATGGATTGGGTATTCCCTGCTGATAAACGTACGAG